CCACAAAAGCACACTGGTTGGTGGTCAGCTCGACGACATAACTGATAATACTGTCTACAATTCGCTCAGAGGCTTTCATGCTGTGCGAGGGCAAACGAATGGACGGCAGCAAGTGCAGTCCCCAGAATTGCCCTTCTTTCAGATAAGAGTCGTGTTGTTGCCAGCTCGCACGCACAAACTTTCTCTGCAACAACCTGTTCGAAGAACTCCGTCAACCACCCTGGAGGATTGCAGCCCACAACTCCGCCGCTAAGTCGTCAGGCTCAGTCGCTCTGCCCAATTTCATGCTCTTCATAGCTGTATTTGTCTCCTTCACGGCCGAGCGCGATGGATGGCCGGTCAAGCAAGTCCGACTGTGTAGATGTTCTCGAGGTACTCTCGCCATCGTTTGCATCCCTCTAGTTCTAGTAAAGAAAAAGGTTCTAACAAGGTCACAGGTAATTAACCGCCTACAATCTACCGGCAAATCGACTCCATTACGGAGACTGAAGCATAATGCAGGACCCTATTTGCAGGACATATTAGGCCGTGTGAGTGGTGAAAAACTGTTCGCGATGCTTCACTTCAAAAGCACTTTTCCAAACACCTCTAGCTCTGAACAGGGGGCGCACTGCTTTCTCATCCTTGCGAGGTTTATGCCACTCTGCCTTGATGACGCAAAATCTCTGTAGCAAATGCCACTGTCATCAATGCGAGAGATTCGTCCATTGCAGTGACTCACCGGCCGACTCTTCAACATTTAGCAGTCAGCATTTGGAAAGAAAACATTTTTCCTAACATGAGGTCTTTGATTATCGTGACAACTTTCTTCATTTTCATAATTTTTAGATTAGTTGTTCTACGCGAGCTCAAATGGCCCTATAAAAGGAGGTGACTTCAACAAAGGTAGGCTTCAGCACCATCTCTCCCCCTCGTCCACCAAAGTACACTCCACTGCTATCAACGACTTTAAATGGACAATATCTGAGGACAATATTCCAGCATCAGGACACGTTACCGTCTAATTTGTTGGTTTATAATAATCGAAACCTTCAGAAATAAATATCTGATCAACCGCCATTGCCTCGAAATACTGATACCACCGCGTGGCAACTCAAGAAGAGTTTATTGACGAGCAACTTACAAAAACACCATAGTTTCAAAGGCGTCCCATCTACGGTAGCGCTCAAAAGTCTTCGGCCAAATGTTTTCAATCAGTCGTAAACCCTTTCCTACTGGATTTAATCATGCGAAATTTCATTATGTACAGCATGGGTGTATTGTGAATATTGACCAATATTAACCTGCAATCTGATCATGTTCCAGAAAAGCTCAACTTGAAATCAAAATCAATTGAAAATGCGGACTTTGGTTTTGTCATGTCTTAGTGTACGAGCGCTAATGCCGAACAAAGTAAGGAGAGAAACGCACATAAGGTGAGAATAATTGCAGACTACTCCGCAGAATTGCTTTCAACGAAGCCTACTACTGCAACAAATACCCTGCTGCTAGTGACGCGGATATTGTTGCTTTGCAGTTCTAAAGGATCCGATATCCTAGCAACGGAACCCTTTTTACCGAACATCAGCGAACTACTTTCGCCCATACGGCCGTCTTGCGAAGACAAGGAAAAAACCTAGGACGAACATACCATCTTTGGCACGAGAGAGTGCAACATTGAGGCGCTTGACATTTAAAAAGAAAGTCCCCGCAGTCATTTCTATCTGAGTGCGGGTGTTGCAGAAGATGACAATAGACAGCTCCTTACTCTGAGCGCTATCTACAGTAAACACTACGACTCCAGTTTTCTGCAATGTACGCTCGCACAGTAGTTTTTGGTCGCGATATAAGCAAATAACCATGAAATCCGCTGGCGGAATACCTTTAACTGTAAGGAGAGGTAGAAGCACATGCGCCGCGGTTGCTTCTACAGTATTGCTATGCGAGCCAGTGACTGATTGAACCGAATAGGAAGAGATGTTGATTGATGCTACAGGTATTTTAGCGCTAGTCATTGTTACTCTCGAAAGCAATCCCTGTGACCAAGGGACACTGGTACACCACAGATGGGTGCACCGTTGTAAAACGACTCAGAGTTGAGTGCATCATTTCGATGTGAGGGCGGTAGACCGTTCGGAGGTGACACATAGGTGTCCATGCTGGATTAGAGACCAGATCTAAAACAGACCAAAAAATTACGGTGACAGCCAACGAAACATTTTGGATGCCCACGTAGTTCCTTGGTACACCACAGATGGGGTTCGCCCACGTAGGGGGGTAGTTGTTTGCTATCCCCAATTAGCGTTACGAGCGCATTTGGAAAACACGATGTGCGTGCCATCAAAGTAGCTTCCGGTACCATCGAGGCTCCATCCAAAATGAATCTGTGCTATGAATTGCCGATTCTACGCCACAAACCTTTCTTACGCGTAAGGTTTGCCGTTGGGCGGAGGTGGTGTAGTGGCAAGTGGCGCACTATATCACACGCACGGTCAGGGGTTCGAATCCCGGATCGATGCCCGCCTAGGCCAACCAAGCCTTCCATCCCTCCGGGGTCGGTGAATTGGTACCAGACTCGTCTGGGAGGATAAAAGCACTGACTTGTACATCGGCTGGCCACCGCAAGTCATTGTATAGGCCACATACGCACTCATTACGCCACTACGATTCTGAATGGAAGTCGAGTGCGGGGGCGCATCCCTCAGACGGGATTGATTAACGCCAAAAACTTTATCCTTTTACTTTAAGGTTTGCCGTAGACACAGTACAGAAATATACGTTCGGCCTATATAATGCGATAAATTCACGCGTGAGCATTTTGCACTTCCACGAAGTACGCTCTTCTTAAAACAAAAGCTTCTTGTGTTCCGTGTTGACGATGTTGCAGCTGTGCCTGAAAACATAAAGTTGCGTAGCCGACGCCGATCATCGGAAAATTGCTTGAATGCCTTGAATAACGTTTGTGGTCCATGGAAAACATGGAAGTTTCCCATGAGGTTTTGAAGTGCGAAAGGGGATGATGCTCGAAGTTTTGGGCAACGGTTTTACTGATATATCGAAAAGCTCTAATGTGCTGAGATTGCATTTCATCTATTTTCGCCCCGATGACGTCTGATGCGCTATTTTGAACAGCGGTTACAAGGATAACATGGTCCTGCTTGGCAGATTCTTCACCATTTCTGATGCGCACATAGACTTACCGGCGCCGTAAGCACTATCCACAATTTGTGTAGGAAACTTTCTATTATACATGTTAACCTCATTTACCTGGTCGGAATTCATCCCGCCTCAGTGACAGTGATGGCATCTTGGTATGGGTAATCATAGCCGCTGACTTGCACTTCTCCTGCCAGTAGAAGGCGGGCAGCTATCCAACCTACCGTGTTTGGTGTTAAGTTTGTCATAGCTGATGAATGCTCCATTAGCGCTAGAGCGGAGTTGGCACGTTCATCCAAGGTGTGCAGGAACGTTACTATTGCGATCCGCTGAATCTTTGAAGTCAACAAATACGCTCTGGAGCGGACCTCATCGTTCGTGTCCAGCCGTATGGTGACATCAAGATAGCCCTCTTCCATTTCTATGTCTACAATTTGAGCGTGCATCAAATCCTGTTCATATGCGCCCTGGATGGAACGCCCCACAGCCCAACGGCTTTCTTGCGCATAGGAATGCAAGAGTGAGCGAGGACAGGGAACTGTTAATATTTGGAGGAGACCATATAGCTGCGTGCACAGTTGTGTCCGTAGACTTTGCAATGCATGCATTAATAGTTCCGCAGGCTGGGCTATACAAAGCTGCCAGGCAGAACCGACATCATTGGGTCGTTCACGGAATAAATCGAAGTTGTGTACTTTCTTCCTTACCAATTCCTGATGTTCTTTGCTCGTCAGTCGGATATCAAACGGTGCGGGAGCTTGACTCGGATGGTATGGAACGTCTGCCATGAAAGGAGCCTATCCATTATCTGTACCCTTCCACATGTGAAGACCATATTTATTGGCGACTATATTTGGCGTTCGCGAAATGGTGCCACAAAGATGGTATCGGCGTCCATACGAGGAGCTCCACTCGGTTCAGCCAGACAGAAAAGCAAGGCTCGTACATTTGGGCGGTGCCCTTGCATACAAAAAGAAATCATGAATTACGCTGAATGGATGTGATAAAGCCCAAAGTCGGATTGAGGTCACGGTGTATTAGAGCAAATCGGCCTACTCTCCATACGTTTGGCTTACGGGAAGCGATGGCTCCAGTTACTGTTCGAGGCAATTCCATGTCTAAAGTGGCAAACTTCACCGTCACGGCTAGAGAGTAAACCCATACCAAATCTCCAATCATAAGCTTTGTCAGCGCGATACCGCGCTTACCTGTAAGGATGTTAATACCAAAGCAATCAAACTGGATGGTATGCAAATCGAGGCGATCGGGAAAGGCAATCTCAACATGGACCGTCTCAAGTTTTGCTCATACCAAAGAAATTTTTGACGCTGTATAATACAGGTGCTACCGTACCGTCAAGAACCAAACCACGAACAAAGAGGTTTTGTTCTTCAAGTGATGCGTCCACCACCAACGACATCTTGGGCAGTGGCTCACCCTTCTTTCGTAACTCGATCAGATTAGAGCAGTCGCTATTCTTTTGGAGGTTTTCTATGACGTTCGGATCGACCGCAGCTAGAATCGAGACTCCGCACACAGGTTCATGATTCGGACTGCACTAAACTGGGAGAGGCCATCGACGAGACCACTGTATCCTGAAGTGTGAACTCTTTCGGACTCACTTTCTGACAAATTAGTATTGTAAGCATTTGATACTGATGGAGAGATTTCTGGAGTAATAGGTTAGCCCACGGATAATTGACAAATTTTTCTGAACGCTTACTGAGCTTACGCTCTAATGGTACGTCCTTTCGCTCACTTGGTATTTTAGCGACACCTGCTCGAGATGTGCTTGCGACAGGACTGCGACGGCGCACGGAAAGTTGGGCTACTAACGAAGCCAATGTATTGCAACGCCTTCATCTGTCGCTGTCTCGCAAATCACGTCTTTACCTAGGGCAGGAGCCGAAGCAATTTGAGAAGTTAGGTTGGCCGATTTCTCAGCTTCCGCTTCGGTAATGGGCTCACTTGAGGGTGAATTTTCATTGCTGTTTGAAGCACCGAATGGTTCATCCAAAAATGACGAGGGGTCATAATTAGATGAATTATCTGTTTCACTCGACGCGCTTTTGCCGTTATGAGGTTTAAAATATTTGGGTGCTGGTTCCTCTACCGAGAGGATGAGCGAATCAAAAGACTCAGCCGCTTGTTTCGCTTTTATTTCGGCATTTACCTGATCAAGCGGTGGGTGAATACGTCCATTTCGATGTCCATTGCATCACCTTCTTCATCTACTGGAAGGATTGCTTCGGTAATGCTCAGGACCATCAACAGAAAAATGAGTCGATTTAGGTGAAGGATTCTCAACTGAGGTAACGTTCATATCAGTGTGATCACCAATGGTATCAGACGACGATTAGGCAGCTGGCTTCATAATACCTGGAAGTGGAAAGAATATATTACCAATGTCTTTTATAGGTGGGAAGAATGGTAGCTGAATTGCGATAAAGCATATAGGAAGAAGAGTTCGTAGAGAAGAAACGACGCGGAGTATATAAATCGTTGATAAACACGACAATAATGTAGAAGGAAATTAGAAAAACAAATGAAGGAAGAGAAAGAAGTGGTTTGTGAGGAATGGGTGGATTTTCGGGACCGAAGATTGTAACTATGAGTCGGTTCAGGCATGGGGACGGCTTGTAGTTGTGATCCTGTCGATGTAGTGATATGGTCTTACCCAACGATGGAATCGATTTGAGCTTGCGCAATTACGTATTCTTCTTCTTTCGGAATTGAGGGGAGGTCAGGAGCGGGACCGCAGCAATTTAGAACCTTTTTGATTTGGTTCAGATGTACTCTACGTGGTTTTGACTGGAGTGAAGTGATGCTAACAATAACAGCATGAGGGGATTCTACTCTGATCACTCGAAATTGCCCAATCCGCGGAAAGCAAACCTATGCTAGACCCTGTTCGCTGGTGAAATTTATGAAAAAAAAACCCTATCACCAATTTGGATCTGTAGTGGGAAAGCTGCTTTGTCATAGCTTAGTTTCAATTTAAGCTTGTACTGTCGGGCATGCTCAGCCGCGTTGCGCCACGCAAGTTGAAGCGCCGCGACTAATTGTGCTTTGTATTCGTCCACCTCACGTGTGGGAGGAATGTGAGGTGGTGTCTGTGGTTCCAGTATACGATCAATAGCGAACACTGGATCGCAACCGAACATCAGAAAATACGGTGATTCGCCTGTAGATTCACTGATGGTTGTGTTGTAACAAAAAGCTACGCATGGAAGGAATAGGTCCCAGTCTTCCTGCTTAATATTAATAATTCTCGATAGCATAACTTTAAATGTACGGAATGTACGTTCGGTGGCTCCATTCCCCATTGAATGGTATGGTGTAGCCAGCTTATGTCGAATACACAGAAGATTGCAGAATTCCTGGTAAAAATAGGAGGCAAAGCTGAACGCCTGATCAGTAATCAGTTCGGACATAGTGCCGTACTTGAGAACTCATTCTGTGAGGAGTGCGTGTGCAATAGTATTTGCGCGTGAGTCTGGTAGAGACACTGATATGACGTAGCGAGTGATATCAGATTAAGGACATATCTTTTGCCACATTCAGTCACCTTGAGAGGGCCACATAAGTCCAATTCTACCTTAGCAAAGACAGTTCCGCTCCCTGTATGCTGGATTCGGCGGCCGCAGCATTTGGCATGTCATACACGCGTCGCACCATTTATGGATGCCCGAATATACAGGCATCCAGTAATACTTACGTAAAGCTTTGGCCAATGTTTTTTTTTCATCCCATCTGCCCTCCTGACAGTGCGCTAGAGTGGTGAGCACTGAATACTAAGGGCTGTAGAGTTTGCGGGACGACTAGTAGAGGGTGGGAAGGTTGGTCATGGCGCTGATAGTAAAGGCGGCCGTTCGCCGCTATTGTAACTTTGCTGGCAAATTGTGCGATGCTTGCTCTCTGCGATTCCGGAAGCGAAGCAGCATAAGAGAGATCATTTTTGAAAATTAAGAAGTTTCTCTAAGAAAGGGCCCCTTTGCTTATCAGCTTCCATGTGGACTGAATGATCCATTCCTCGAATGAAAGTGCGGGGAGGCATGGCCACCGAGAAGGTGTGCTCTTGTGTAAGAGCGAACGACAATGGTAGGCTAACCGGGAACTCTAAAATATCCTTAAAGGCACAGTTCACGATAATTTTGGGTAATCCAGATTATGATGAAAATGAAAGATAAGATAGAAAATAGTCCGATGAAGGTGAAAGAATTGCGTGAATCGGTGTTTCCGAAGTGAAAAAAGGCTTCGAAAAACCATTAAAAAGGGGGCAGGACGAGAAAAAGACCAGAAAAATGAAGAAGAGTGAGGCGTTCAGACGAGCTATACAATGTGTCTCACTGCGTGCGTGTGAGATCAGATGCGAATAACAGATTATGGTGAGCGGAAATTCATAAACTTATGAGCTTAAGTAAACAAGAAACCCTAGTAACAGCAAAAGTAGCTCACCTTTTTCAGCCTCTAGGAGTAGGAAATTAAATAAGTGATCGCGGCAGCAAAAAGAATAGTAGAGGAAAAAAGAATGAGAGAAAAACACCGTCTCATCACTCGGCGACCAGCTGATTGTGTGTGGGTCCTAGAACGAATAGATGCAATCTATATTGTCTCGACACTCGTCTGACGTGATGACGTGACATCGATCGAGAGGCGGGAAAGCCAATGACGTTCCCACCCCTTGAATTATCGTGAACTGTGCCTTTGAGCTCCTCGCTCGGATGACACAATTCATTGCTGTCTTCAGTACCGCGCGAGAGAGCGTCAGCAACTGTGTACTGTTTTCCTTTGATGTGCACGACCTTAATGTCATAACTCTGTAACTCGATGAGCCAAAGGGCGAGATTGTCATGGGTTTTGTTCTTACTAACTAGAAAGGTGAGGAGTGTGTGGTCGCTATGGAGCACTACTTTTGTCATGCATGTATAGGGCTTAAATTGCCGCAACGCGTATATAGTTGCACCTAGCTCGATTTGTACTGTCGACCACCTGCGTTCAGTGCCACTTAGAGTATGACTACAGTATGCCACTGAGTAAAATCGTTTTTGACCTTCTTCAAACACTTGCATCAATGCGCCTGCCTAGCATCTGTAAAAATATGGAAAGGTTTTTCATAATTTGGGAACCCTAAGATTGGTTTCTGAATAAGCGCATCACGCAGCGTCATGAAAGCAGATCCCTGCTGATCCGTCCATTGAAATTTATTGTCTTTCCGAGTGAGCCAGGTTAGTGGTTCACCGATATTTGCGAAAGGTATGAATTTTTTAAAAAATCCTACCATTCCGAAAAAACGTTTCACCTCTTTGACGTTACGGGGCGTAAGGAACTTGCGAACTGCTCTCGTATTTGCTTCACCGGGGAGTAGCTATTCTCATATATAACGTGGCCCAAGAAGGTAATTTGGTTTCTGGCGTAGACGCATTTCTTAGGTGATGCTTCAAGGCGGAACTGGCGCAATCGCGACAGTATATTTTTAATTCCCTCCAAATAAGTAGGGAAATCTTTGCTGTAAATGAGGATAACATCGATATAGGTCGAGACACAGTCGTCAAGTCAGACCAGTACTTCTGCCATATTACGTGCGAAATAACTGCCCGCCGCTTTCAGTCCGAAAGGGAGGTGGGTCATCTGGTATACCTTATTTACAGTAACCACGCCACACTTATAACTGCTTTCCTCATCGAGGGGCGGCTGAAGATATCCACCCGCCAGGTCTACTGTTGTGTGAAACTGGTACTCCCCTATCTCCTCTTCTTTCCTCTATTTCCCGATCCATACGCGGTACCACGTCGACACGCGGTACCGGGTATGGATCGGGTAGGGTTTGCAGGTGACAGCGCTGATTGGACGTCGCATGTCAAGGCATACTCGAAGAGAATACTCTTTTTCACGGACCACTACCAGGTTATCGACCCATGGGGTATGAGACTCTTTCATTACTCCTGCACGTAATGGCATATTTATACGCTTTTGAAGTTCTTCGCGATATTTAGCACTACCCGGTAAGGCTTGATTTTAGCAAGGGGATCATTTGTTGTGAAAATTCCACCTTTTCCGCCGTGCAACTGCCTATGTCGTATTGATGTTAAGAGAATACGTCGTGGAAGGAATCTAAGAGATGCTGCAACCGACTACGTTGGTCTGCGTTTAAACCGCAATTTTCGAGACCCACTTTGTAAGAAGGGTCCCCATGCGCTACGTTAACTGCACAGGAGGGCCGGTTTCAGGGGAGAGATAGTGACATTTTCGAAAGGCGGCTCTACGGCTGTTGTACAAGCTAGCCGCATGCCCTCGTATACAGTGATACAGTGATTGGTTGGTTAGTGAGATTTGATACCAAAAGAATCGGTTTGTGGGATGAGATTATTGCAGGAGCTACAAAGAGGTCCTTTCCATAAGTTTACCACATTGTGGCATAAGAATAAGATTTTGTGCTAGGTTGTAATTCTCAACCACGCAAGAAACGAATGATTCAGTGCTTGGTGATATGGTTACAGTGTTCTGCTCTTACGTGGTAGGGCATGCTCCTGGGGCGTTACACACACCTTGGGAATTTCCCTAAAGGTAACACGGTGGAACCGAAATACGCCTTTTGTTCGCGGAAGAGCATAGTCATCATGAGAAGCAAAGTCAAGTGTCGTTGCCTAGAAATACTCCATAAATGGAGTCCATGTGAGAACGCATCGAGTCTCAACGAAGTGAAGAACAGCTGTGATAACTATGTCCACGATTCGCAGGGTAACAATTTTAGAGCCCGCCAGCGCCAGTCGAGTACCCGCCATGCCTATGCGGTGTCTGCTCTGAGTGGGTCCAATTGAAATATACTCAGAGCTGGGCATAGGTCTCGAGAGGCCACTGTCATGCAGGAACCTGTATCAATTAGTGCAGATACATTAAACCCGTTAATTTTAAGGCTTATATGGGTGGAAAGAGGCGCGCTGTCCGATGATAAACTAAGGACCCTCGGGAAATCTTAAGGAGAGTCAACTAGGGAATTAGCGTCTACGGCTACAGTGGTTTGTTCGCGTAATGGAATGGCCTCCTTGCGACCAACGCCTTGTCTCTGTAAACCAGACAACAAACGCGCCGAGGAATTCAGAGAAAACCATGCATATATCGCGAGCGCACGCAAAAGCATATTTACAGTAATGAAGAGGCAACAGATAGTCACCCACGATTGATATGTTTGGAGGTATGCAAAAGGGGTAAGTGTGAAAGCGGTGGTAGCTACGGAATGTAGAGACGCACTTTGAGAGTCCTACGGATGAGCATCCAAATGAGCATCTAATGCTGCTTGAGATCTTTCCACTGCTGCCCACAGTTCGCTAAACTGTAGGTGAGGCAGAAACTCGCTGACATGGGTCAGAACGAAATTGTAGAAGAGGGTTAGTGTCGGTTTCAAGTTAGAAAATTTAGGCGCGTCAGCGTAAGGAATTACGGTGAGCAAATGGGCAACTTCCTCATAAGCGCCATCAAAGCCGTGCTATGGATCCTTGACGAGCCAACTCAAGTGCCATTTCTTGCTTGCATTTCGTAGGGGATGCCGAGTTAACCAAATGTGCGTTACGGGACCGATAAAAGTTTTCCAGTGAGATCCATCAGGGAGATGCACGAGAATAGAAGGAAGTGAAAAGCGCGAAGAATTAAATGGCACTGCTAGCGTATTATTTCGTTCGATGAGCGCGGCTATATATATATATATATATATATATATATATATATATATATTGGCGTTTCCGCTCCGTATCAGCGTTCATCATCTCATGACAATGCCACCCTCTGCTGGGAATTTTCGCTAGAGGCTGTTGTTTATGTTCGCAGCTTGAAAGACCTGCGTTTCCAAACGTGACGTCAGCTTCCCCGGTCTTGAGATCAACAGAAAGGTACGGAAACCCTATGTTTATGTTCACAGCTTGAAAGACCAAGGGAAAAAATTTACGGCATCCGCGCTTCCTAGCGTGTCGTCGGCCTCCGTGGTTCTGAAATCGACAGAAAGATGAAGAATCTCTTGCCGTCGCCTCACTAAATTACGATATCTTGGACATTCAGAATGAATTCGAAGATAAAAAAGCAGAGAGGAAAGACTGTAACTCGAACGTGTCACTCATGATGCGGTGGTGGGAGAGTCGCAGCGGATTTTCAAATGGAGGAAGCGATGAACACAAGAATCGTCGCGAGACTATCACCTGCAACCCTCGCGCTGGTATAGATTCGAGAAGAAAAAAAGTCATTAAAACGAAGTAGAAAGAAGTCTCATAACGAAATTCTGCTCAAAACAATGCTCATCGAGCTCATTGATCTCCCTTTAAAAAATTGGCAATTGACGGACTGTCCTCATGATTGCTTCCTCCCTGGTGTTCACAAATCACCTTATAGCGAGTTATCACCGACTAACCAAATGTGCATTAAATGCAAGGAAGCGTATTAGACAAGTTGAAATGACCAGAAATGCGTTAGAATTCGGCCAGACGACTAACGCTGTTCATTTTGATCTCGTCTACACATTCGCCACCTGGATACCGGTCATCTTACAAGCTAACCCCGTAAGGTATGCTTCTAAAAAGAGGAGTGAAGTGCGGTGAATCAGGAGGTTCAATGACGCGCTGCTACCACTAAAGGATCCGATGTCCTCTTAGCACCGGAACCCTTTTTACCGTTACATGGCTTCAGGCCGACCCAATTACTTCGTGACGATACGACACACCATTAATTACAATCTTTATCAATATCCGTGTAAGCATTCACAAGGCACCTTCACGACATGGATATACATAAGCATGGAATAGCCGGAGAGAGATCAACGTGTCGAAGCGAGTCGCCCCCTGTGTTTGAATTCCCATCGACATCCTCGCTTTCGCTTCGCCCATCCGATCGGCTTTTCCCCGACTATCTGAAACAAAGCGTCTGAAATACAAACATGTGACGCGATTACCCAGAATCGATAATCCCCAACTAGATAATAGAAGTGTAAGAAGATGGCTATATCTAACCAGGGAAGGATCCCAACTCGAAGTGGCCATTTGGAATAAGACCTATATTGCTAGACGTGTTTTTGGGCGCTGAATTCAAATCCGCTTTCCAAATCTGCCAAGCGATTCTCTGAACGGAGTTATGAGGGTAATCCCAGACGACATTACATGAGAAAACTCAAATTACATGGATGCAGCTCACTCCTCAGCGGCGGCTTGGTGTAGAGGTAAGTGTGACGCTTCATAGGCGAGAGACTAGGGTTCGGGTTTTGGAGGGGACTGAGTTTTTGCATTATATAGAATTTTCTTTTTAAGAACTAAAAAACACTCTCACGATGATTTTATCACGTTCTATGAATTTTTGATGCTTCTCTGATGCACTCTCTTCCTCTCGTCTATTCACAATTAGTACTTTCAAAAAATTTTACAAGTGATGGGGTTGTTCTGAACTTTACCACTTTTGCCGCGTGACAAACGTGGCAGGAATGTAGAAGAGATGGGCTGATGAGACACTGTCATACGAGCAGTATGTTCTGTCCACAGTTGGTAGTGTCGCACTTATTGAAGAACTTCGGTTCTTGTGATATAGAACGCGCCCCAACAAGGAAAGAATAGAAGTTGATAGATAGCTTTTCCGCTATCTTACGGGATGCCATGCACGACGAACTAAATATTGAGTCTGAAGAAGGCAGTATCATAGAAGAAGAGGAGGCCGACCCGTTGTGGGAACTTGACGATGAAGAAACACCAGGCTCGTCCAAACGGTCGTTCCTATTCGGTGACATGGAGGTTTCTAAAGAACAGGTATTCTTTCTGTTTCCCCAGCACAAATATCTGTGAGGTGACGTTACCGTAATCCAGGTGGAACGAGCCATCGCGTTTTACCGTTCGAGCGCAAAAGGAAGCCGTCCCCTACCGTCCATGCACTCCTTTTTCCGACTCATCCGAAGCGAGTACCATCTCTTGAAGTTGAGGCAAATTGAGAGGGAAGGTGAGCCATAACATTGGGAAGCATATCTTATTCTGTGGTACTTATGGACATCTGAAAGTAGGTGAGGTCCGCGAGAGTCGCCTGGAAGCTTTGCGAACATTGGCAGACCTTCTGAAGGGAGAAATTAATTTGAAGCTTGACTCCGGTGTGACGTTGCATGACTGCGACATACGTCAAATGGCTTTGAGGATCAACAAGGAAAGGTCGCTAGTAGAGGGATTCAAAGCTGGGCACCGATGGATACAACAGTTCAAAAGGAGGTCTGGCTTGGTTTCCCGACGTATAACCACCTTCTGCTCTATAAGGAGTTTCTTGGACAGGGAGCGCATTTCTATGGAAGCTCAAAACTTTGTGAGCGATGTGAGGAAAGGTAGGAACTGAATCATCAGCACATTTTTCTAGTGTTGTCCCTTATCTCGGAATGCAGCGTTGCTTCAACATTGCTAGTTTCTAGAGATGGAAAGGTGGCCATTGGGGGCAGTGTGTAACGCTGACCAAAGTGGGTTTATGAAGGAAATGCACACTAGGAGATCGCTAGCAATGAAAGGCTCGAAGAGAGTAGAGAGGGTCGTACAGTCTGTCTCTGCCACGACCCACTCGTTCACCGTTATGCCTTGCCTTTTCGCAGACGGTCACCTAGGTGAGAAGCTCTTCGTGGTGATCCAGGTGGGCTACAAAAATATTTGGCATTACACTAGGTATTTCAACCTGACTTCGATAGGAAGCTACTGGCGAGTTCCCGTGTAGAGGATTTTTCTGTGCGCGAAATTTGGAGGTCCGAGCGAGTAAGACGCACATGATGAGCAAATAGCTAATGCTAGACTGGGTGCAATCATGCGTAGCAGCTCCGGACTCACAAACACCGACACTGTTGATAGTGGACTCGTGGACATCGTTCAAAGATCATGAAGCAATTCAATCCGTCTTACCTCCAAAAAGCAGGTAAAAGTAATGAACATCCCTGCTCGTACCACGAGGCTGATACAGCCGCTAAATGTTCATTTCTTCCTGCCTTTTAAAAATGTGATCAAACGCATTACCTCCTATGTAATAGCTCATGATCTCAACTTCTGCGTGTACACTCGAGACTCCATTCTTCGTTTATTATCGCTTGTCTACTTTCAGTTCTGTTCTGTTAGATTTAGAAAATTCCTCTCTTATTCATGGTATGCTGCCGGATACTTAACCGCTCACCCGGGCGATTTTGAGACTCCCACACAATTCTGTTTCCCTTCTGATTTGGTGAGTGATTGTGAAGCAATGGGCTGTGATGAGTTCTTTTTCATCCGTTGCTCCCACTGTGAGAAGCTTCTTTGTTTCAATCATTTCGTGCTAGAGTATCACATTTGTTCATAAAGTTATCCTACTGTGAATATAAAGCGCATGGATATGCGAATAAAATTTAAACCGTTCTATTTTAGGTGGATAGATATCAGAGAAGCATCAAAACTTCATAGAACGCGATAAAATCATCGTGAGAGTGTTTTTTAGTACTTAAAAAGAAAATTCTATATAATGCAAAAACTCGGTCTCCCCCAAAACCCGAACCCTAGTCTCTCGCTATGAAGAGTCACACTCACCTCTACACCAAGCCGCCGTTGAGGAGTGAGCTGCATCCATGTAATTTAAGTTTTCTCATGTAATGTCATCTGGAACCACCCTCATAACTCCGTTCAGAGAATAGCTTGGCAGATTTGGAAAGCGGATTTGAATTCAGCGCCCAAAAACACGTCTAGCAGTATAGGTCTTATTCCAAATGGCCACTTCGAGTTGGGATCCTTCCCTGGTGAGTTTGAACACCCTTACCGTTACACAGTCAAATAGCGTTGAATAATGTGAATATGCTCCAGCTATACATTCTTCAGCTCCCACGATTTAATCCTCTAAGAAAAAAGTTACAAACGAAATCAAAGACTTCGGAACGCTACTACACGTTCCAACGCGTCGCAAATAGCCTCATAAGAGGACAACATGCTTGTCGTTTTCCTTATATCGACGACACCATCATGGCAATCAGTGGGTCACCACCTCAACGATCTCGAGAAATTTTTCAGCACATGAGGCATTTGGAATGAAAATATTCGCGAAAAAATGTTCACTTTTTTAGACGGAAGTACATTACTCAAATGTCCTCTACAGTAAACATGGCACTCGCCCGAATTCGGATAAAGCGGCCAGTATCGCCTAGTTTCAAGTTCGAAAAACGCGAAAGCAATTGAATCCTTCCTTGAAGCAGCTTCCTACTTACGACGCTCTATCCCGCGCTTCCCCCTTATTGCTTCATCTCTTAATACTACTGCTACAAAATGCGCCATTAGAGTGAACCGAGGCCCAAGTTCAAGCGTTCTTGGCCCTTATGAAAGCCTTTGTAGAGGAACCCCTTCCAATTTTCCCAATTTTTGGACAACCCTGTGTAATACACACAGATGTCTCCACTATTTGGCTGCATGCCTGTTGCAGACCAACACAAGAACTTAGGGGGGAAGATTCCGCAACTCACGCTAGTGGACCTGTAAACAAACACGAAGAAAGTTAGCAGTAATCGAAATAGAAGCATTCGCAATAGTGTTTACTTTGAAGCAATTCTATCCTTGCGGAGCCAATGCGCGTATTACGCTAGAGACGAATCGCGCATCTTTTGACCACTAACGCATCAATCTGGCTTAGCAGGCCATATAGCCAACCAGGGAAGGATCCCAAGTCGAAGTGGCCGTTTGGATTGAGACCTACACTGATGTGTTTTCGTATGCTAATCCCAAATCTGCTCCCCAAATTTGACGGGCCTTTCTCTGAATGTAGTTATGAGGTGATTTTGGATAAGGATTAACATATATAGAAAGCCTAAATTACACTTATGCACAAGGTCCTACAGCGGTGGTTTGGAGCAGTTGTAAGCGTGGCATTCAAGGGCGAGAGGCCAGAGTTCAGGTTTGGTGAGGGGCGAAAATTTTGCATTTGATTGAATTTTTCCTTGAAAGCTATGGATTACTTTTGTGCTAATTTTGTCGCGTTCTACGATTTTTTGATGGCTGTGATGGCAACTTTCCCACCCAAAACATGCATTATCGCCCTAATTTTTTTGCATATTTGTGCATGGTTTATTCGTAGTAGGATGACCCTTATCACTTCACGAACATACGTCATGCATGGAATGTTAGGGAACTAAGCCGTTTCTCACAATTGCAACAACTAATAAAAAAGATTTCGTTACATCATGTTGTTTTACAATAACTTACCGATTCAGAAGGAAAACAGAATAAATACAGCACAAACCTAAAAGTAAGTAGCTGATAGGTAGTGAGCCGTGCCACGAGTGTATAAGCAGATCGTGAGCCATTACGTGTGAGGTCATGATCACTTTTAACGGCAGCAAAAAAATGAACAATGTTTGGCTGTATTACCCTCGTGGTAGAAGCAGAGATGCTCATTACCTTTACGCGCTTTTGTGGGGGTAAAGTGGGCTAGCTTCATGATTTTGAGTGATGTCCACGAATTCACCATCAACAGGGTTGCCTTGACGGGTTTGAAGCCGCCATGCACGATCGTATTTATTCTAAAACCATGATGGACTCCTGACTGAAGGGCCATCCACGAAAACTCAAGGCATAATAGAAGAAGAGTGGGTGGCCGCTTTCTTCGAGTTCTTGGAGCCGAGATTGCAGCAACTGTGCATATCGCTCCGAAATTTCATCATGAATGTGAAGGATCAGAAGGATAAAAACTTCTTCGTTGGCCGACTCAGCTTCTGAAATGCTCTCCGTACTCGATTCTCATTCACAGTGGCCTTTACAATTGTGGCACATTGTGGCTTATGCAATAATTTTCGATGGTAAAACAATGTACACGTCAGTGCTTCGACCACTCATGAGAGTCCGGTACCAAGTAACCGACCCCCGACGAATGAGGGCTTGGTTGGCCTGAACGAGAATCAATGTCTGAACCGTCCGTGTGTGGTAGTGCATCATCTGCCAACACACCGCATTCGCCCCACCGTGAATATTGCATGTACAAATATGCAAAAAAAATTGAAGCAATATTGAATGTTTTGGGTAAGAAAGTTGCCACGACACCCATCAAAAAATCGAAAAACGCGATAAAATCAACATAGAAGTATTCCATAACTACAAGGAATAAATTCAATCAAATGCAAAATTCTCACCTCTCACAAAACCCATACCCTGGCGTGCCACCCTTACCACTGCTCCAAGCCACCACTGCAAAATCTTCCGCATACATGTAATATAAACTCTCTCTGTTGAGCCTTACCCAAAATCATCTCATAACTCCCTTCAGAGAAACGCTCAGCAATTCGGAAAGCAGATTCGAGACCAGCATACGAAAACACGTCTAGCAGTGTAGGTCTCATTCCAAACAGCCACTTTGACTTGAGAACCTTCCCTCGTGAGTATCAGATCGCAATCCAATTCTACGATATGACAATCGAATATTGTGCAGAAAAGCACAACACATTTTGTGACTATTTGAGGCGTTTCCTTCCATCACGCGTATATTCGATGATAGCGCGATCTTCTTCGTGCGTGGAAGAAATTTAAGGAAGCTAGAGAGATTCGAAATATGGTTTCATTGTCGAATTCTTCACTGAACAACTTGAATGATCTCCTCGAGGATCCGAGAATACAATCGAACGACTCTCAATATACAACGACTCTCTACACTAAACACAATAACGCGAATTGTTTTCTTCCCGCGTGGATGGAAGCTTCCGCCCATATTCTGTCGTATATGGCCGACGTCCTATAATATGGAGTGATATACTCCATGAAGTTATTCCCTCTAGAGCAACATCAGACGACTTGCCGGACCAGTTCGTCGCTGGCTTGAAGACTATTATTATGGATGTGGGTAATGAGATCGCTTCAGAAACCGCACAATACAATATCGGCTAGGATCTTCAAGAACAGAGACATCGAAAAAGTCTTTCCACTTAAGGTTAAGTTCTTTGCATGACGGCACAGTTAGTCCTGAACTCACATACCAGTGGAACGGCCCTTTATGATTGAGATCAACCTCCCTCACACAACAGTCATTAATCTTGTAGGTCGCTCTGTGCGATAAACGGCTCATGTCAATCGTCTGAAATTATACTGTCCACGTTCAATGCCATTTGATCCTTCCATCCCAAACTTACCACCAAAACTTCTACCATTCCGCAAGCATAAAGTGATGTTGAACAAGATCAGAACAAAATAATTCGTAAGTTCACATTTCTGCTGCACCCTATCATGAACACACTCCTCGAATAGGCGGTTCAAGGGAACTATAATATCACATTTTCTCTTGCTATATTGCAAAAGTTTCGCCTTCATACTAGTCGATACCAGTGTACTGGGCCAAAGGCTAGTATCCGCATATTAGTTTTTTATACTTTGTTCGTATATTGGTCGAATGCCAACAAGACTAACATTTTTTCCCCATACTTTCTAGTCAACCATTCGTATACCATAACTCAGGCAAGTAAGTAATATTGTAATCAAATTGACCACCATTTACAAGTGAAACCTATGTAATAGTCAAACCAGAAACATTAATGTCGTTTCATACCTAAAAAAGCCCGTGTAACTTTTTATTGGGTAGAGCACATTGTACGAACATAACATGAAATAAGAATTATTGTTATGATCATTGATATGATCTGTTATATTACAATTTTCCCGCATTCACTATCCCCCATACTTCTAAAGTCATCTTCATCCATTTCCAATACTTTCAGCTAAGGGACGAGACTTTCCTTCAAGCAAGTGACAGAATTGTCCCCTTGGGCTGTATTCTGTGTCAGCTTCATGCGTCGTTTGGTAGCTCAATTTTTTCACACACGGTCGCTGACTTGTAATCCTCCTCTGTATCTGTACATTCCGCAGGAGATGCTTACCGTCACAAGAGTGGCACTCAAAGCTCGAGGACAAGCTTTCCGTAAGGAATAGAGAAGCCTGTCAGCCAGGAACGTAACAAAATCTACATGCCCGTCCGTGGCAATTTGCCAGCTATTGCAAGGATTCGTTGTGGCACCTCTTTTCGTACGATACTACGGCTGTGGCCCCGCCCCAAACCGAAACCCACAGTGTTAGTTAATAGTTTGATTAGGGTAAGGGTGAAAGAGGTTTGAACCAGGTTGGAAGGTTGAAGGTCAATCAAGAACAAAGATGGGACGCATTTGCTTAGCTGTGTAATGTTACAAACTTTGTAAGCAATTTTCGTAATTATGGTCAGGGTTGATATGATATCAGACTTGTCATCAAAACTGAGCTTGTTGTCGGGAAGGTTACCTCGTAGATAGTCCGAATGGTTAAATTGACTGGGATGGAACAACGATTGGCTCCAGTCGAAATGGAAGGCTCTTGCACCTTTTCCGACTATTTGGACATGATCAATCATGTTCCTCGCCGGAATAGCCTGACCTTTTTTAGGGATGGAATGGGTTTGGGATTTCTGTCTCATTTTTACGTCAAAATAGTTTCCCTCATTCTGAAACCAATGGCGTGTTGCGAGTCGACAGTGACAAGTGTGTTACTGTTTCCGCCAGAGATGCAGGAGATTTAAGTCTTGTAGTGCGTAGACTGATAGACAGACATGCATAGACTGATAGACACTCATTCTGCTTCGTCTTAGTGCGTTACCTAAATCGTACAATAAGAGCACAGCGCTGAGTTAAATTGAAGGTGGGCTTTTAAAATGATTAAGCGCTAGCTGTTAGGTGCTGCTTTTCTCTTGGTAACTACTGTGGATAGTCCTACTATGAAGTCATATATGCGCACAAAATATGTGACAAGCTCTTCACCCAAGGATCCCCCAAATGGCGCAGTCTGTATAAGAACAAATAACTGACAATGCAAGAAACCCTGCTCTGACAACGAGCAAGCATGGTATGCAGGTAATTGGTAAGGGACTAAAGAGCAGTCTTGGACCCATTTGGGACTGTCGCACACTTCGAAGACTTTTCGTACAAGCTGCCTACACTTCTTCGGTCACCAAAATTACCAGCCCCCATACTTTACCATTACCACAACTAGACCAAAATCCTACTTCGCAATCTAGCCACATGCCGCCGAAATTACGGCCACGGCCGTCATCATGCCAAACAATCTGATCATGTCCCAAAAATCGAAAAAGGTGCAAGAGCCTTCCATTTCGTATGGAGGCAATCGGTGTTCCACCCCAGTCAATTTTATC